ATGGTCATGTGGTATCTTTGTCCAACCAATAGAAATAATGCTATATTGTCATGTGGAAATAATACTGGTTTAAGTATTATACACTTATAGCATTAAACTTTATTCTAAATTCTTTTTTTTTTCTGACAAAGAATATTTTACTGGAACTGAACAACCATTTTGAAGATGAGAAAGATGCTCTTATGGCCGCACTGAGGGCGCAGGATAAACGACTGATGAGTGAAAGAGAACGACAATTAGCCCTGGCGAAATTGAGACGTGATCAACTGAAACTCAAAAAAGAGGATAGCTTTGAGACTGCTGCTGTGTTGTACGGAATCGCACAAGACAATGAAGCCAAACGACAAACAGGGTATGGTATAACATAATACTTGCATATACTACTCAGCTATATGACTTTAATGATGTTGATTTCACTGAGGCTTGGTGTGAGGACAGTACATACAAGTAAGCAAGTACACATATTATTTGTGATCAGATTCAATATGGCCGACTCACGGCCATAATTATTAGATTACAGATGCATGCACATCATATTTTTCATTCCCACTTTATTTATATATTTGATCTTACATCCATTTCCTTGCATAATAGTGAATGATTGTTATTTCTTTTCATCTCGTGACTTCATTGTATGTATGATTTTAAGACAAAGCTGAAGGTAACTCAGATAAATGATTCATTGTGTTTTTAGTTGCCGGAGGGCACATAATGATGGGGCTTGTTCTCAGTTCATTATCCCTTCTTATGCCTTTATGACCATAGCTGTATCACTTACAATTATAATAAAAACACTCTAACTTGTGTAATTTAATACCCATACATATTAATTGAATGGGCTCTAACTTTATTGTGGACATGTGAATGAAAGGAACACCTAATTACCAACATCGACAGCAAACTTGCTAACCAATCGCCTGTGCTGATTCAAACTGGTGTCTGGAGATCTTTATCAAATTAGGCCATCCCATTTTTAATGGGAGGCCAAGATACTTTTAGAGAGGGGCATGATCGATATATGAATTTTCCATAATAATATTTATCGTTGTTGTAATTGTACTTCATAATTTATTACATTTAAAATATCGCAAAGCGAGAAAAATATGAAAATTTAGCATAAAGTAACGACTTAAGAGTGCGTCCCTTTCAGTACATACCATTGCCTCCTTTTGAGAATGAGGTGGCCCAAAGTGTTTCAAATTGATAACACAGGCGATTCTTAGCAAGTTTGCTGACAATGTTGGTAATAAGGTGTTCCTTTCATTCACGCGTTCACAGTGAACATTATTAAAGTCCCCTCAATAATGTTACAGCAAAAGTTACATGCCTGCGCTGGTACTTTGGTATGCTGCCCTCTAGTGGTGTTTTCAGGAAAAACAGGATCTTGAATTATTTTCAAGGACTATAATCTTTACAATGACTTGTTGAATTTTTCTGACACATAATTGATTTTCATTATTGCATTATATCATTTGAGGTCATAACAAAATAATTAAATATTGGAGAAGTTGATTTTATTCTGTGCCAGTGGCTTGCTGAAAAAGCAATGTGGTTTCAAAGGTACTAGTTAAAACATAATAATTTAAAACATTTTTACAACATTCTATCCATGCAACATGATCACATCTACATCGATTATGCCACAAAAGTCAACTTTTGTCATATTTTACAAAATTGTAATCAAGACTCATGGAAATAAGAAATTGTGTTTAGTTGGTTAAAAATTTTCCGAAAAAATTATATAAATGTATATTAAAACAGGATAAAATTTGTCTAAAATAATTCTGCACTTGCAGGTTTAAACAAATACCTCTATTCATCCCTGGTATATTGTCTGTGTGTATAAGGTCATGTTTTAATGATAACAATGCCTTACTAAAGAATAACATTCATTCATTGATTGATTGAAATGTGACATATATTGATTAAAAACATAATTGTTCCTTGATTGCACATGCGTATAATGCTTATACGAGCAAGTGTTACCAAGTACCATAGTGACCATCATTGTACCATTATCAAGTCAACAGAACCACAGTGAAGGACTTTAATATTTGGCATCTCGAAGAACTCCTGGACCAGTTTCTCCGGTTATTCCTGTTGTGTCAAACTTGTGTGTTTCATCGTCAAGTGATGTATTGAACGAGTATGTTACATTACAGTGAAGTCCAGTGATGTATTGAACGTGTACATCACATTATCGTGAAATAGGTTCAAAAGAAGTCACCGTGGAAATTGTTCTTCGGAAAATATAGTAATTCTTGGCTTCAGTGACATCATGTGAGCAAGGTCATTACAGTATTGATTGTGTATGACATGCTTTAAAGCAACAATCTAGTGGAATTTCTTCAGTATTTGTGAACCTGCTTGTCAGGACTGATAGTTAACCCAATTGTAAGGATTAATAGTTAATTTGGTTCTAAGAACTGGTAGTTAACCTGGTTGTGAGAACTGGTAGTTAACCTGTCTGTGATGACGTCTAGTTAACCAGATTTTGTGGACTGTTATTTAAAATTGATTGCAGGAATTACTAGCAGTAGTTAAGCTAGTTGTGGGGACTGCTAGTTAACCTGGTTGTTGGAATTGCTAGTTAACTTTATTGCAGGGATTACTAGTTAAGCCAGTTGTGAGTACTGCTAGTTAATATGGTTGTGAAGATTGTTAGTTAATCTGGTTATGCAGACTGGTTGTTAGTTGTACTGCCAGAGCAGGTAGAGTATGTTATAAAGGTATCATTCTTCATATTTTTCAGTGTATCACATAAGTTAGAAAATACATTTAAATGGGAATGCAGTTTCCACCATATAATAATAATAATAATAAGTCTGAAATATATAACTTTGCGTTCTGTTCGTATGAGTGTCCGACATGATTTTTCAGATATGGCTTTACTGCTTTTGTTCAGATATGGGAGAGGAGAAGACATAATGATATACATATGCATGTTTTGTCTCAGGATAAACTGGTTGGTTAATAATGCATGTCATTTTGTTTCATAATTTGTTTCAAAATAGCCAAGTGGTGGCCATTTTGTATTTTTCTCCTGCTTCTTAGATTATTTACCGATTTAAATTTGGTACACATGCAAGACATAAATGAATGTTTGCATATTCTCTTCAGGTGTTTTGTTATTTTGATGCAATTTTGTTTTAATACTCAAAATTTGGTATACCTATGCACTTTCATTTCAAGACTTAAACGATTGTGGTTAACAGGTGGCCATGTTGGTTTTATTTTCAAGTGTTTATTATATCCATATCCATTTCTCAGACACTCTTTGACCAATTTTGGTAAAATATGGTAAAAAGCAAAACTTATTGGTTGGCATATTATTATATTCAATTGTTTTCGACTTTCTATAAAAATTTTTCAACTGGTAGTAAGTTTGTTTAATTTTTAATCATTCTTACCCATTTCACTGAAACACTGACCATTTTGTTTTCAAATTTGATTTGAATTTTGGCAAGACATGGGTTTCATGTTCATATATGCATGTTTTTTGTCTGTGATAATATTTCCTTGTCATTTTTTCGCTTTGTGTCCTTAAAAGTCAATTCAGCCAAATACAAATAGGATCAATGATCATCACCAGTGTTATTATAAGCGTCTTACCCAAATTTTATGCTTGTGTGAACACAAACCTAAATGGTTTAGACTGGCCTAAATAAGTCATGCCTGGATGCCAGTGCCAGCCTTATTTTATTCTCCAAATTAGGTCGGTCTAATTACAGTAAAAAAAAAAAGTACCAGTTAATGTAATTCTCATAATTCTTGACTAAATATGCAAATTAGGTTTGCAGTCAGAAATATTTTTATCCGATATCTTCAATACTGCCATGTTAAACACTTCTGAAGTAACAAATCTGCAATCCAAAGCAAAGTGGCTGCCTAAATAATCTTATTTATTCATCAAACAACAAATTTTGGGCAGACCTTAAGTAAATGGTAAATGTAAAAATTAATTATCATCTATTTATATATGCTTATAATTACAGCACTCTATCAATATTTCCTGTTTACTTGTCATTCAAACACTTTGGTATTTGTCTGGGTCAAAGGTCGAATGAACTGCTACTAATTAAGGTTTTATTAAAACTTACTCACAAAAATACATATGATATAAATGTAGTCACTGGAGCAGAACTTGTCGATATAATGAAAAAATGATTAAATGCTTCAATGAATATTCATGATGATCAGTGGGGCTATTGTTTCCATAACAACCAATATTTAATTATGTTCTTATTTGCTGAAAATGTATAGTTTATGCAGCATGATATTTTCATAAAAACATTTTTTTAACTTTGGTTTCCTTGGTGTACTTATTTGCTGTATTGAGATTACGGTAACCTGTTGAAAAACTAACATAGTTTGTGTTGTTGCCTTGAGGAGAAACTGACGTATATATATCAAATGCAATATATATATATTACATGTATTTCATAATATTCTGTCTTTCTGTAGACTCTCTTTTCATACTGTCATAATTCACATAATAGTAGGATATTCTGTTTTGTCAAATGTTGACAAAACAGTTGACTTGAATCATTTTTATAGTACCTCTTGTACAATTTCTAGAAATTTATTTGTTTTGTATCTAGCCTAAACTGGGCAATTGCATTACTCAAATTTGAATTTTTTTATAATTTTTTTAGTGTTGGTAAAGATAGAGAAAGACAGAGACAGTTGGCAAGGCAGAGACTAGCAGCGGCTAAGAAAAAGAGATCGACAAAGAATGCATTGAAGAAAGCAGCACTTGAGAAAAAACTGAAGCAAGACGAAGAAGAGAACGTGAAATCTGATGCAATGCTTGCTCTGAGAAGACAACAAGAAGGTGATGTATAGTCTAATTTAAAGGGTGGCAGTCGGCGCGCCGCGTCCTGTTCGATATGGGACTCATAGCGACGTATACAACGCATGTAATATACAATGATTATTTACATGAAATTCGAACACGCACTGCACGACGACCACCGCCCTTTAACAGTAATTGCATTTATCTTCAGTGATGTTCATTATGGTTATAGAATGGAATGGAATGGAATGGAATGAAATGAAATGAAATAGATAAGAATAGAATAGAATAGAATAGAATAGAATAGAATAGAATAGAATAGAATAGAATAGAATAGAATAGAATAGAATAGAATAGAATAGAATAGAATAGAATAGAATAGAATAGAATAGAAT